AATTCAGCTTTGCCATCACAGGAATTAATTACATTTTAAAATATACTAAAATGAAAAACAGTTCTTTTAAATTGTAATAATATTTAAGAATATTACTGTTTTTTCTGCATTTGTATCAAATAAATGCAGTCTTTGTAAGCATAAGAGACTTCTTTCAAAAACATTTTAAAAATCTTAATTATTCCAAACTTTTGACCAGTAGTGTATACTATCTATATATACTGTAATAATAAAACATTTACTAATAATTGGTCAAGTCGTATAATTGGTCATAAGGAAATAATGGTTAAATTTACACAAATGAATTTGAAAATATTATGCCTTTTTTTTGTCGTCTCATTTTTATCATAGTATTTTCATAGGCTAATTGCTCTACATACATTTCATATATTTGTGCACACACATTTGTGTGAGTGCTCGGTCTTGTATAAGCTCGGTGCTGATAGAGCCGGACACCGGTGGCCTCGCGCATCGACACTGATCGGTGACAGCAGCGGTGCCCTGGCGAGGCATCAGATTCATACATTATAACTGGGTCATCTGTCCGATGTCTATCTGAAGCCTTTGCATTTTCATTTTGGATTAATAATATGCATATTAATATTTAATCATATTTCTAAAACTGTGCACTGTACAGTGCAAGTGCGCGAGCTGAACTGGCGCTTGACGCAATTCAAACATGGCAACGCGTTTGAGAGGAGGGGCGGAAAATGGGGGCAAGAAGGTAATGCGACGCCGTTACGGAAACCGCGACCAAAAGTGCCATTAACACGTCTAAATGTGTCATCGAAAGTTATCCAGATAACATAATACGGACACCATCAATGTTTCGCGGCGTTTACATGTACACTCGTCGAACGCGCACTGCAGAGAAATGGTGCGTGTGTCCCGCCGTATTCACCGCCCACTATCTCGCGCGGAAGCATGGCGCGCCACACGGCATCTTTAAACACACACATTCAGCATATTTCCCCCGCAGTTTCACTGAAAACGACACCTGCTCGACGCGAGCAACTAATTAACGCGCTTTCTTTGACGCCAGTGGTGCTCGGCGAAGAAAGACGGGTGGATTTAATCGAACCGCTCGTCCGCTGCTCTTTGTTTTCCGCGCGACTCTGCGTCAGTGGCTCGTGCGACTCCATGCTTTGCGCTCGAGACTGTAAACACATGCCGTCCATGCAACTACTTCGCTCAAGAGCACCGAGCCTAACAAAACACGTATTCGCGTGTTTATTTTCTTAACGGGATAAATAAGACACTTTTAAACAGTCCAGCAGGATACTAAAATAAAATCTCGATTTGATTAGCTCCACGTTTAAATGCGTCAGTGACACCGCCTCCGTCGCACATGAAATGAATCTTTAACAGTGGCACAGCTTTAATCGTTACATAAACGTTCAACTTCTTGAGTTACTGAAGCAGGAGTTTGGAAACGTTGAGGAGCTTGTGAAAATGCGGGTTTGTTTTGAAGCACACCCACCAACAGCAGAGTAGAGACCACACGCATTTCATTAATCTCGCAAGTTCAAAACGACTAGAAACAGCCAAACTGGTTTTCAGTGCGTATAACACCAACTACACAAATATATGAGAATGCATGTTCGCTGTTATAGTTTTTGCATCTAGTTCTCGGTTTTCAACCAGTACGCGAATGCGAATTGTTTATTTTAAAATGCAACATTTCTGTCAAAACCCTCGTTTTTGGTTTACGTCTGTTCTGACCAGTTTAATAGAAATCGATTCTGTTATCAAACACTTAACAGCGATCATCAGCAAAGGATGCGAGCGCCCTAAAATGTGATGCGCTGTATGGGCAGCAGCCTCCTCAAGTGTCCTACACACTAAACTTATCGCACGCTTTTATACTCGAGCAAAAATGTGAAACAATTTCAGCAAGCTTCCAAAGTGATCTTACTGCTACATTTCTAATGAATGCGGCAGCTTTCAGCCGGGCATCGCACTGTCACACAACTTCTTAAGGGGGCCTTTCGAAAGGCGAATATAACACCTTCTGCG